TAACCCCCCGCCGATTTGATAGGTTTTAACTCACTGAGTATCTTCAGAACTTGAGCTGTATCCATCTATAGATCGCTCATTAGAGGAGCTCGGACCTGTGGCAAATGTGAGGGGTAACTGCGCCCATTATCTACTTTATGGACACTTTCAAAAGCGTTTTTGAGTATCTCGCACTTCTCTGTTTCCGACGACACTTCTTCTCCGGAGCTGTTTCGTAGGACCCCTACCGCTTACCTGAGGGCAGCCTTCGACTGTACATACGCGTAAAAGTTTTTGGGATTGGATTTAGCTTGCTGAGCGATCATTAATTCATGTTTTATTTTTGCTTGTTTCATAAGCTTGTTTGCGTAATTTCAGGCCATTCTGTAAGCCAACCACCTCTGCTGCCCTCCAAAGTTTGTGTAATTCCTCCATTTACGCCCCCGGAAGGTTATCTCTTTCTTTATGGGAGTTGTCCACCACAAAGGACCTTGAGAATTCCTCTTCGGCTGCAGTGGCGCGTACCTGTCAGTGAGCCCTACGATGCGTTCCCAAAGCACTCCTTATTCTTCCTCGACAGATGCATCTTGGTTCGACGCCCGCCAATTGGTTGAACCAGCCTCTTGGAGTAGGCCGGTCACATTCATTCGACCGAAGTTCCTGATGAACTTGGAGGGGGGCTTTTCTGTTATGCATGTCCTAAACGTGATCACATTATGGTCGCTCTTACCCAGAGGGACTTCCATAGTCAATTCACTGACGTCGTTCTCTGCTCGGGTAAGCACTAAATCTAAAATAGACGATCTCTGCCCATATCTGAATCGACTTGGTTGTCGAATATCCTGATAAAGTGTCTGCTCCTGGAGAATTCTTAAGAGGGGCTATCTCACGCGTCAGCGTATTCCCAATCAATTTCCAGCAACTATGTTCGTTTTCGTCGTTTTCCCAAGTAACCTGCTAAGTGTGTTTATCAGCTGTCTATCCTCTTCTGATCTAGTTGAGCGTGCTCTGTGGACTCCAAGGATGACGAAGTGTCGTCCTTGGTTCCCAATAGTGCTCCAACTGTTTGCACAGTGGGGTGCCCAGATTCAGTTCAGTGTTTTCCCACTATGCATATTGATTCTTTATGAGAATCAACACTCCGCCTCCCTTACCTACTTCCCAGTTTGTCCTGTACACAGCAAAGTTCGGGGGGTAAGGTGATCTATGACGTGTCTTGGTGACAACCATGTTTCAGTCAGAATGACTACGTCATATTCTGGGCATCTGGTTTTCAGTTCGCCCCAGTTATTCCAACTTTGCAGATTTTTGTATACCACGTTTTCAAACTTCTTTGTTGCAGTGCTGGGGCCTCTGTGTTTAGGTCAATTTCTTCATGAGGTTCCTCGGGCATAGCACCCGAGGGCGCGGCACGTTTTCCCCTCAGTATTTATTCCCACGCTGATTTCTTTACTGCGCGGTTCCTCATGGATTTTTCTTTTTGGCTGAGCCATCCTGTCGATGACTGTTCTCTCATAGTCCGATTCCGGTTTATTTATATCCAGTTGAACGCTACCATGGCTAATTTTCAAAGCAGCCGCTACCGTCGGCTTTCTTATATCAACCCTTGGATTCTTATTTTCGGGGGTTTGCGTATACCTAGAAGTAGAGGCAGGGGTCATAGTTATATTCATATCTATGGTTGAAATCTCCTTCAGTGGCGTTTTTATCCTCCCGGCCGCCTTTATGCTAGTCTTCCTGTTCGCTCCTGATTTACCCCGGTGATGTTCTGTCTGCCGTTTACCTCTCTTGGTGCGGGGAAATGGTGTTACAGGTAGCGGGTTTGGTTGTCCGAGCTATTGCTTGACGTCGGCTTTTGGCGTTCTCGGTTGAATTATTCCATTTACCATATGATGCCTCGGGCTGGTGGGCGCGACATTTTGAGGGCTGCCTACGCGTGGAGTGGATGCAATGACCTCAGCGTAACTCGGTGCTCTCTACCCTCCCTTTATTTTGTGAACCTTTACCAAGGCGTGGGTTTGAACACCTTTGGGGCCGCTCTTTACGGGTACACCTGTTCCTGGTTGCGGCTGATTCACTTTTGGTCAGACATCCACCAGGGGTCGTTTAATCATGCGACTTAAGTTATCTGATGCAATTCGACATCTACCCCCGGTAGCACTTTCTACTCTTTCACTACTGCATAGTAGCATATCCCTAATATTACGATTTCCGAACTCGATTAGAAGGGGTCTAGCAACCCTGGCACGTGGTGCACATTCTTCTCTCCATCTCCCAATCCTCTGAACCCCATGTATGAGTACCTACACGGGTGACCCTGCGGTTCTAAGTATATCACGGACTCTTCGACCGTCAATATCCGCCCGGGCCTTCGCGTCTCTTATAACCGGTTCTTCGTGGTTCGTAATGAGAACGCTCCTATTCCGGCCCGTCGTCAGTTCTTTGGCGCGTTTCAATTCAGACACTTCGGTCTCCAGGCCAGCAATCTTCTGCTCTAGACGTTTGATCGATTGCGTCTGATCGAGATGCGTGTTGCCGTCAGGGTTGTCTGTATTGCTAGGCTCGGGCGCCGTAGCAATGCGCTTCATAGTTGTGTTCTCTGCTTTGGCTACGCACAGGTATCATCCACTGGAGCGCTGAATTATTCGAGCGACAAATTTTCAAAAGGCGCGCGGTCAAGGTCATTCAGGTTGCTCGAGTGGGCGTGAATTTGCCCCGTGCCTCAACCGTCCGGTGTTATAGTATTTGGTTTACTAAGGGTGGCTCGCTGGCTCACGGATCGCAGAGTACAATATCGTTCAGCTGAGTATTGAAGTCTTGGAGTAGTACTCGGGTTCGAGGCTTGCGCCCAATATTCCCGGTTACGGATATGTCTTCTTTTCTGCAGTTCGGTGCACGAGCATGCACTAATATACACGGCAGAGAACCGTTAAGTTCAGTTCAGTTTTCACATGGCTCTTCCCAATCGAGCGTCCAGTTCAGTTCAGTTCAGTTCACTTCAGTTTGCACAGGATGGAAGTGGTCGAGACTAATCGTGCATCCGGATCGTTGTATTGTTGGCTAGTTTCCTTGGCTTCCAACACTGCTCGACAAAGGTTCTTTCTGCTTTCTTCTGAAAGGCAGAATGTTTTGGTGCAGTATCTCATCCACCAGATATGTAAAAATAGAAAACATCAATATAGGAACGAACTCACCTTGTTCCTTTATCGTTCCTCAGGTGTCCAGTTCCGGGAAAAGCACTTTCCAGCATAGATTCAAGGCCTTTTTGAAGGTCACAACTGTTGAGCAGCTTATGACATTCTCCGGCAATCTATTGCACAAAGGCACCACCCGGTTTATGAAGAACCTGGTGTGCAGCTTTAGACTGGAGCGCTGTCTTGTTAGCTTAAGGCTACAACGTCTAGCGCCGCGCTGTGGAGTAGGAACGAAAAGGCTGCTTAGTTCTATGCTGGACAACCCCTTTACTATCTTCAAGACTTCAATTAAATCGCCCCTGGTCCTTCGGCGTGACAGTGAGAAAAGATTCATGTCCTGCAGATGCTACGAGTAGCTCTTTCCTACCTGTCCAGTGACCATTCTGGTTGCCAATCGTTTAACCCTCTCTAGACACTCCATATCTTTGCGATGGTATGGGGTTCAAGCTTGCACGCAGTATTCCAGCAGTGGACGCACCAGTGCCTTATACAGCGGGAAGAACACTTCTATCTTCCTGCATGTAACTGTGGTCCGCCGCCTGAAGAGTACTCCTTTTGCTTTATTAGCAGCCACCTGACATTGTCTTGTAGGCCGGAATTCTTTTGTGACAATTGTTCCTAGGTCCTTTACCTCCGTCGTGCCACGTAGCGCTGCGTCCCCGGTTGAGTCCACATTATTCGTCAGTAGCTGACACTTGGCAAGATTCAGGGGTGAATTCCATCAAGACGACCAGCTGCGAACTGCATCTAGGTCCTGGATTAAGTTCTCACTGGCTATCTTCACATCGTTCACAAAAATGTAGCAGGGGTTGTGCAACTCTGGCGTGAGATCGTTGATTAATCAAAGGAAAAGAAGGGTCTAAAGAACAGAGCCTTGGGGCATCACGCTTGTAGTGCTCTCTGATCATGAAGTGTAGCTGCCGACCCGTACAGTAAGGCTACGGTTCCTGAGAAATTGCTTCAGCCACTGACGCGCTGACCCGACTATTCTAAACATTGGTAGCTTCGTGTCCAGCAACGTAAGACTCACCGAGTCAAAAGCCTTGCTGAAGTCCAAGTAACATACATTCACTGCTCTACTCTGATCTAATCGACGTGTAGTCTCGTCGAGAAAAATCACTAGATTAGTTAAGCACAACTGATTTCTGGTAAATCAGTGCTGTGCAGGAGATAGAAGTCCATGAGTCACCAGGTGCGCACAGATTTGTTTTCTGATTATACGTTCGAGGCACTTGCACAGCACTGACGTTAAACTGACCGGCCTGTAGTTTTCCGCCTGCTGTCTAGACACCGTCTTAAATATTGCTACTACGGTTGCCTTCCACCAGTCCTCTGGCACTACCCCGGAGGTGATGCCTAAAACAAATCAGTGACAGGTCCTAGTATGACCTCAGCTAGTGGCTGGACGATAGCTGGGTGAAGCTCATCCGGGCGCGCCACCTTATGCTTGCACAGGCTTCTTAGCTCGGTTCATACATCCTCATCATTCAAGATTAACATCTGCAGTTCGTTTCCAGTGTTATCCACCATAGGGTTTCGGACTCCATTACCCTGGGATGAACGATAGACACTTTTGAAATAGTCCATCAGCGTCTCAGCCCGGTCGCTATCTGTACTGGCTATGTTGCCGTTCGCCATCCCCAAGGTTCCCACACTTTCACATGTGAGTCCTTTGGACTGTACATAGGCCAAAACCCTCTTCGGGTTTGTTTTGATGTCTCTAGCTAGTTTCTTTTCATACTCGTACTTAGTGTATTTCATGCTGAGTGTTTTGAAGATCCTTCCGAACCCATAATGATTTATGGTGCAATAACTTTATCTGTGTGTTGCTCTTATA